AAATATGAAAGTTTATTTCTGTACTCCCATTTCTCTTCCACTTATTTATATGACTTTGTAAGTGCAAACCACTGCTTAAGATATTGCAGCATTGTAAAATTTGAAAAGAGAATATGAGATTCCAACTTTGCTTTTGTTTAATATCAGTTTGATTATTCCAGATCCCTTGAAACTAATATGACATTAGGTTTAGGTCTGACTTTTCAATTTATGTAAAGAAGCTAACAGCTAGGTTTATACTAAGAACTGCATTAAATCTATAGACATATTTGATAAATTCTGTCATCTTAACAATTTATCTTTCAATTGTTAAGATGAAAATATAGGTTATTTTTGCATTGACTTAGATATCCTTTTATTTTCTCAAGACTGTTTTATAATTTTCATTTTATCATTCTTACACTTTTGATAAATTTATTCCTAAGTATTTTACTCTTTCTGATATTAAAAATGAAATCATTCTTTTGTTTTCAGTTTGTTCATTGTTAGGATTTATAAATACAAGTGACTTTTGTATTCATCTTCTATCCTGAAATCTTGCTGAATTTGTTTAGGCAGGAAAATGTGCCTTCACATAAAGAGCACGAATATCTAGGACTAGCAATAAATGAATTGAGTAAACCAAGAGCAAAATAATATTCATAAAGTACTAGCACATTATTGAAATTTTGGTGCTCCTCAGCCTAGAGGCTCCTTCAAAAATAGATAAGACCTTTTTGTCTGTAATTTGGGATGGGGCCGTGGATTATGCTTTTTTAATCATTTCTCAATAGTGATTATTTGCCTATTTCTTGTGTCACAGCAACCCTTTAAGATATACATTATTGGGCGCTGGAGCAATAGCACAGCGGGTAGGGCGTTTGTCTTGCATGCTGCCAACCCGGGTTCAATTCCCAGCATCTCATATGGTCTCCTGAGCACCACCAGGGGTAATTTCTGAGTGCAGAGCCAGGAGTATCCCCTGTGAATCGCCAGGTGTGACCCAAAAAAGCAAAAAAAATAGATATACATTATTGTTTTTATTTTACATACTAAATTCAAAACTTAAGAAGATAACCAGATAACTATAAAATAATAGGATCGAATTTTAACACAGTTTATTCTAATGTCATATTTGAGCTTTTCCACACTCCTGCACTTGATATTTAAAATAGGAGATCAGTTTGGACATTAAAAACATATGGACTGTAAAGAAGGAAGATGTTTTAGGATAAGAGGAGCAGCATGGAGTGAATTCGAATACAATCTTTGAGATCATCTTGGAGGACTGATCACCTCGGACCTGCTTTACAGGTTGCTAAGTCTGAAGGTATAATAAAAGACTATTAGGGAGAGTTAAGAAAATTTGAGAAGGCCAAACTTGAGATTTGAGGGTTTCTATAATGTGGCTTTTCTATAATCAGTTCTCCAGAAGAGTTTACTACTGAGATATCTGAGAGTTTGCATTATTTTTATTCCCTATTCTATACTATTTTACTGGAACAATGAAAGGTATAGCATGAATGTCTCTGCCTAAGGGGCTAGAGTAAAATTTTGGAGATAAAGTTATGGTCATATGGCTATGATGCACTACAGATAAATAAATTCATTTTCAATAATTTTCAGTAGACTATCAGGGAAATTCTATCACCTCAGTCAAAACATATTCAGTATATTATGTATTTTGTCCTTAGCACCTCTTATTAAAGTCTGACCCTTGGTGACAATCTGGCAGGCAAATCAATGTCAGCCAAGAAGGGATTGGTGGAGGACACAAAATCAGAAACAATATGAATCAGAAACAGAATAACTTCGTGTGGGGAGATGGTCCCCAACAGCTGTACAACAAACACTGGTTCCTTATCTATAGAAACTGTCCCCCTCCCCGCCCCCTCTAAAGATCTACTACTTGTCAAAGAATATAATACACTATTACCCAAATATTATTGGCATAGATAACTCCTTAGGAAAAGGCAGTTGGGAGTTACAGAGCTCCAGATGAACAGAAGTGACCAGTTGTACCCAGTTTCTTATATCTGGGGACTGAAATATGCAATGCAGTCCTTCTGGAATGCTGGGGTTAATGCTGTGGCTCTGGTGTCCTTGCCAGCTTTTATGCGCACAAGGTTAAATGGAAAACAGAATGGAAACAGGTTGGAAAAACAGGTTGGAAAATCTCAACCTGTTCACAACCAGGTACAACTTTTCAAATATTCACTTTCCCTGTCCCTCTGATTATATCCTCTCACTTTCTAAGGCTTTATTTTTAGTGTCTGTTTTTCTCTTAGATTTCGCTTGAGCATTTACAATTATACCCGGCATGAGTCTAAACTGGTGAAAGCCAAGGAGACTCAATCATTCAGCACTCTGGTGGGTAGTAAGAAGGAACACATGATAGTAATTCCTTCACTTATTCCTTTTTATATACCTACCACAGTGCTTTTCATTTAGCTGCTGGATCCTGTATGAGTATTTTATGTGAAAGGGCAGAATTCAAAACCAGTAACTGTTTTCTGAGAAAATCTCTTGGTTTGCCTCCCAAACTGCTACCCTAGGCAAATGTTAGAGGGAGGATGAGTGTAAGAGATGAGGAGGGAGAAGAGATATTGCATCTTAAGTAACACTAACTGCTTTGGAACACTCTCACTCATAATGCCAGTATCAGTGCCTCGTTAGCAGTTTGCCTACATCTGCCAATTTTCACTGTTCAATGTGGTTTTGGGATAATTTATTAAGAGCTTTGAAAACTATTCCTCCATATGAAAATGAGCAATCTTGTGTTCTAATTCCCAACTCTAGAATAATCTGAGGTAAAATGAGGGAATTTTAGTGTGATATACTTGAGATTCAACCAATCTAAAGCTGATAAGAAAAGTTCAGACTATGAGCATGACTTCCAGGTAAGTGACCATTCTTTTCTTTGGGCTTATGTTTCCTCCAAATCATTTCTAGCTCCACAAATCTTAGAATGATCAACTATAGCAGTTTTATCTCTCTAACAGGAGATCTTAACTTGCTCATTGTCCTAGATCCAGTTTCAAAAGAAAAAGATGGCAATGGCAATGATAGCCTCTATTCAAATTACTCCCTAACCTTCCTTAACTTTGGTTTGGGTAAATCTAGATCTTTACAAGCCATCAGTATTCCTACATAAAGTAGAATTTCCCACTGGAGAGGGTCCGGTAGGTTGACATTTTAACAGTGCTTCTGACAGTAGGAATTGTACCAAGAGCATATCCAGGGTTTCCCTCAGGACACCCTGCTGGCCAAGGTTCCTCCATTGTTTCCAAACACAATGAAGAGGAAACGGAAGCTAAAGGCAGTATCTGTAGCAGCAGAAAAGTTCTTTGGCAAAATCTTTACTTGACTGTCCCTCTTGTGGAGTATAAAACAATATAATATACGGCTGACACCTAAGGATAGTAGATACATGGGTCAGATAGATTACTCCATAGCTGGAAGCCTGCCTCATGAGCAAAGGGGCGAAGGCAGCTGGAATAGAGAAGGGATCACTAAGAAAAAGATGGCCGGAGGAATCGGTCGGGATGGGAGATGTGTTCAGAAAGTGGAAAAAGGATCAAAGATGGTAACCTCTCAGGGTCTGTATTGCAAACCAAAATGGCCAAAAGTAGAGAGAGAGTATGGGAAATCATGTCTGCCATGGAGGCAGGGGGAGGTGGGAAAGGGGGGTATACCAGGGATATTGTTGGTAGGGAATGTGCACTGGTAGAGGTATGGGTGTTTGATCATTGTGTGATTGTAACCCAAACATGAAAGCTTATAACTATCTCATGGTGATTCAATACAATTTAAAAAAAATCTTTACTTAAATGAAGCACCCTTGCTGCTAGAGTTAAATTCCAAGGACTTTCTCCCTTTCCTCAAGAACTCTGCAGTAACTATAAGAGATGTCAAGGCAGGCTGGGCTGGGGTAGGCAATACTAAGCATGGAACCCAAAGAAAGGAAAAAGAAATTGAGCTGGAAAATGAGCAGAGTTTGGTTATAACTACTTTCCGACCATCACCCACCTGAGGGTTTCTCCAAGATAAAAACTGGCTACTGGTACCAGAGTCTTGGCAACAGCAGCAGCATTGATTGATTTGTGTGCCTAAGACTCTGGCTAGGTAACAGTTTGCTCTATCTAGATTTGTGGGTCTTGTCAGAGCTTCTAGTTTACATGAGGTTTTTTTTTTACCATGATCCAGAACACTGACTAAGCTTGCAATTGTTAGAGAAAATGAATTGATCGAGGAACTCTTCCTGAGCTCACCTCTACCAATTGCTCAGGTATGAGATGATAGAGAAATTTTTGAACCTTTGTCAGTTTCAGATGCCTTCGGTTTCAAGTAAATAAAAGGAATCCTGAATACTTAAGGTGATCCAGGCATAAAGGGAATTACATGATCAGTCCATAGCAGAGAAGTGCTAAGTTCAAGGTAAAGGACACCTTTCTTAAGTACTTGTCTTTGTGGGAAAAATTCAAGACCTCAGCACTCGTTTATGTGACAAAAATGAATTTTGGCTTAAAAGTAGAAACTTTTCCTTCTGAATTAAATCCATACCTCCAACTCCCATCTTCTTGCCATTTGTGTTAGTGTCTAAAGGACATTGACAATGTTAAAATAAGAATCCTACTTCCTCCCTATGTAATTAAACATGTACCCAGAAGTCTGCTTTATTAGAGCTATTACTGGTCTACAGTGTGAAGTCCTTGGGTAGGTATCTCTAATCCCCAGCAATAAAAGTAGATGAAACAGAAAGTGGTAAGCCAAATGTTCTTGTACAAGAGGAGGAACACATTACTCTGGACTGACAGTTCTCTTAACCCTCAAGAAGATGCTGGGGGAAGATGTGGGATGTCAAAATATTGCCTCCAGGAGGGCATCTGGGGCTTTCCAAACTTTACTCATGTTCTTTTAAACATAATTCCTCCTCTGCTTTCTACTGCAAAGCTTGGGTGAGGGCCTGGAAATAGGGATAGCTGAATAGCTAAATATCTGTGAAAAAGTGGTTGGGACAGGAGCCTTGGGTCAGAGTGGAGTTACCTTGGTAACATTTTTCTGAGCGTTGAGAGGCTTTGAAGTGAGTAGATGGTGAGCACAAGATGTCTTTGTGGTCCTAGTATAAATAAGATGAAGGCACTTGGTGATTCTGTGTGTTGACAGTGCGTTGCCCATGCAAATTGTGGTAATAGGAGCTGTGGCTGTGGCTGTTTGAACATATCTTGCCACAGCTTCTGAATCTTGCTTGTGCTGCTAGAGTAGAAGCTTAGTATCTCCCCAGTGTCTTTTGGATGTTTTGGAGCACTGCTAGGTAGTGAGAGAAATCCACGTTAGAGGGAATGTAATGGGCTGATAATTAATAGCTATTTACCTGAAGCAAAATTCAAGAAAGTTTGAAAGCACTCCCTGTTGTGGCTGGGCAAGGATAGTGTAGCTGACTGCTGGTAGAACTAGAAATTACTGGGTCCCAGGAGTAGGCTCTCCCTGAGACATTTGAGCTGCTCTTCCCCGAGCTTGATCTTCTCTTCCAGCTTCCTCTGTTCAATGATGAGAGCAGATTTCATTTTCACAAAGTGCTGGTAATCTTGGAGCTGGTCTTGAGGCAGGTAGCGGGAAACCATTCCAAATACCAATTTCTCCCGCCGGTCCACATGTTCCTTGAGCTCTTTGGCATCTGCCAACTGCCCTGTGAGCTGTTGCTTCTTCTCTATCAGCACCAACTAGGAAAGCAAAAAAAAAATCGATTAAAGGCTATCTCAAGTAGCTATCTCCGGCTTACCCAGTGCTCCACCACAGTGCTGCTACAAAATACCCACTCTGCTAATTTATCAGTCATAGGTTTCACATCTTAAAAGCCCTCTGCATGTAAAACTATTTCTTTCCTTTACCAGGAAGAAAATTAAAGTGAGAATAATTCTGGATAAGGGAGGATATAAATTGTCTTTAATTCATGGCTTCTGCCAGGATTTTCTTTCTTTTTTTTTGCCTTTTTTTGGGGTCATACCCGGCAATACACAGGGATTTCTCCTGGTTTTGAACTCAGGAATTACTTCTGGCGGTTCTCGGGGGACCATATGGGATGCTCGGAATCAAATCCAGGCCAGTCGTGTGCAAGGCAAATGGCCTACCTACTGTACTATCGTTCCAGCCCCCGCTTCCAGGATTGAGACTGGAGCAGGGAGAGGTTCTGATGATACTTTGAAACGATAAGGAGACTTTCTGCTATATGTGTAAGTGTACATATCCATGTGTACATATATGTGTCATTTATTATTAATTACAATTTACATCCAAAACTACTTGTATATGGAAGGGTAATGCCGTTTTGGTTTAGGAATAAATGAAAAATAACCAAACCTGTGAAATTGTCAGACTCCTAATCTCTACTTTCTGAGTGAGACCAGAGAGAGAGAGAGAGATGAAATTGTTGTTGTTCTGCTGTTGTTGATACTGCAACTATAACAACAACAACTATTACTACTATTATTACTAAGTAGCACTGGAAATATACTACTACTACTATTACTACTACTACTACTACATAGCACTGGAAATATAATACAGAAATCCCGGAGCCTTGAGAAGTGGATTATGATGTAAGATGGGTAAGATGATGAGTTGATTCAGGGTTTGCTCTGTTCCAGACCTATTTTAAGCAATTAACTTGAATTAACTAATTTAGTTCTCACAGCACCATGAAGTAGCTAGTGTGTTTTGCCAGTTTTAAAGAGATTGAGATAGACTGAAATGAAGAAATTTACAAATAGTCACACAACCAATTAGTGGGAAAGTCAAAATTCAAGGTACTTAAAAGCTAGTAGAGTTATTAACTGTGTACTGGAAACACTATGCTCTGTCAAAATTGAAAGAGGGGGCCCCAAGAGGAAATACTTTTCTCCATCTCTACCCTAGAGACCCCAACTCTACCTTTTCCTGGTTGGCCTCGGAATCAATGCTGTTGAGAGCATTCTCTACCCGAGCCAGTCGTCCAGAGAGGGACAGCAACAGGTTGACCACTTTGTCCAGGTCTCCAATAAACAAGCAGTATTTTTCAAACTCATTAGATTTGCAGACAGCTTTTAGATTGGCCTCCACCTCCTCTCCAAGAGCTGAATTGGCATTGATGTCCTCCAGCAGCCCTCGTTGGGCCTCTCGAAGGACAGAAAGTTTTTTGCCAATGCTTTCAATAAGCTGTATCTAGGAGAAGTAAACAGAAGGCAACGGATGAGAATGCAGACCAAAAGAAAACAAGCTGTGCCTATACCTTCTATTTTGGTACAACAAGTAACAGATGGTGGGCTAAACCCTAGTCACTAGAGAGAAGGAAAACTTGAACATGTCAACATAAACAATGCCAGTTTTCTGAACAGGCATTCTTTATCCCATTTCTTCAGCTTAGGTAGGAATCTCTCTGCTACCACCAAACTTCTTGTCATTAGCAAAGTGGGACCCAGGTTGGCTGCATTTGCCAACTGTAACAATAACTTCTTGCCGAGAATAATTAATAAATGAGAATTGGAATGCTTATAACAGCAGACTCCTTCAATTTCTTTAAATACTTCTAATTCATGGCACTCTGCCATATCCTTGCTTTTTTCAGTTTGGTTTTCAGGGACATTTGGAAAAGAATATGAATTCTACACTCACAATGACTAGTTTTAACTTTTTACTCTGCTACTTCTTTGTTTTATATTTAGTAATATGGGTTTCTAACACAATATATTTCAGTTGTACAGTTTCTCACCTCAGAAACTTTTATCCCACCATGCCCACCATCAAATGTACAACAATCTGGAAGTTTCTTTGTAGAACAGAGTTAGCCATACAGATAACATTTTAAAAGGATTCAATAAAATGCAAACCAAAGGTTTAGCACAGACTAAATAATAAATAAAGCTGGTTGCTCTTACATAAATGTGCCCTGAATTAACAAAGATATATTCTGAGATGTGTACTGTTTTAGGTGATTTCATATTGTTCAAATGCCATAGAGTATATTTTCATAAAATTAGATAATAATTCCCAGTGTTTCTCAATATTTTTATGTCAATAAACCTTTCTGAAACTGACTTCCTCTCTGTGGCCCCCATTTTTCAGGTTGGCCTCCTAGTCTCATGCTATGAACCCCCTCACTTATGCACTTTTTTACCTTTGAAATATCCTAGGGATCAACATGGAATCATATGGCACTAGGTAAGAAACACTGGTATAAAAGGGGGGGTTAGAAAGACATTAAGAGAGAAAGAGATAGAGAGAAACTGCTGGCCATAGAGACAGGCGGGGGGATAGCGGGTGATTGGAGGGAATGTGGGGACACTTGTGTTGATAAATGTATACTGGTGAAAGGATGGGTACTGAAACACTATAAGACTGAAACCTAATCATGGACAGCTTTGTAAGGGTCTATCTCACAGAGATGCAATAAAAAAGCACTTAAAAAAAAAGAAAGAAGCACTGGTATAGTTAGTGGCTAAATGGCATGGCCAGTTGGGACCATCAGTGTATATGTGGTCCATAATGGACTGAAATTGACTCATGGACATATTTAGTCTGGCCCCATCCTAATACTTGAATCTTATTCCTTAGGATTTTTAATGATTAGTTCCTATTCTCCTTTTTTTGTTCACAATATTCATTACTGCGCTCCTATCTTGTCTTTACATTTATGTCTGTTTTTTCTCTTTTCCTTCACTTTGGCTATTCTCATTCTTCAGATTTGCTTTAACCTCCATTACTGAATGGATGGTTACCTTACCCTCAGACCGCTGTCTCAAATGTCATTTTCCTTTTCTTCTTCTTTTGTGTCATACCTGTCAGTGCTCAGGGCTTTACTCATGGAGGAGCTCAGGAGACCCAATGTGGTGCCAGGGACTGAACCCAGGTTTACCCCATTCAAGGCAAGTACCATACTCATTGTATTATCTCTACCACTCTTCTCTTCTTTTCATTTATCTTCTTTTATTTCCTTTCCTTTTCTTTTCTATTCTATTTTTTTAGGGTTTTGGGGTGACATCTGGCAGTGCTCAGGGGTTAATTCTGGCTCTTGCTCAGGAATCACTCCTGGTGGGCTCAGAGAGGTGGGACCATATGGAATGCCATGGCTGCGTGCAGGGTAAGTACAATTGCCTTACAATTGCTCTGACCTTCATTTATTTTCCTTAGTATTCATGTTGGGCTGGAGTGATAGCACAGCGGGTAGGGTGTTTGCCATGCATGCAGCTGACCCGGGTTTGATTCCTCTGTCCCTCTCGAAGAGCCTGGCAAGCTACTGAGAGTATCTCGCTGGCACGGCAAAGCCTGGCAAGCTCCCCGAGCTCCCTGTGAAGTATGCAATATGCCAAAAGTGGTAACAACAAGTCTCACAATGGAGACGTTACTAGTGCCCGCTTGAGAAAATCGATGAAATAAGGGAGGACAGGACAGTATTCATCTTATTTCAAATTAGCACCATATAATGCCATTTAAAGTTGTTCATTTCATTTTTCTTAGAGTCTTCTAATATTGATGATACTGTTTCTGTTTGGGCTGTTCGAGATGGGGTTGGGGTCACAACAAGAAGTGCTCAGGTATCATTCTTGGCAGTATTTGGGGGAGACTATATGTGGTACTGGGGATTGAACCAGAGTCAACCATGTGAGAAGCAAGTACCTTGCTGCCTATACTATCTGTCTAGCCCTAATAAATGTTTCTTAGGGAAATACTGCTTGTGTTTTCTACTTTGTGTCCCCTGTAGGTTGAACCAGTTCTGGGACTGTACTCACACAAAAGTAGTGTGATACAGTGGAGTTTTAGAATCAGAGATGACTACTTTCAAATTCTCTTCCTTTAAACTGTGCAAACTTGGGCAAGAGACCCAGTCCCACAAGACTTCCATTTTCTTATCTATAAAGAGAAATGTCTTTCTCTCTTTCACTTTTTTAAGGATTATATGACATCAATAGAAGCAAATTCTTTTTTCCTTTGTTTTGGTTTCTGGGTCACACTTGGCTGTGCTTAGGACTTATTCCTGACTTTGCGCTCAGGGAACATTTCTGGTTATATTTAGAGAAACATATGGCTTGCTGGGGATTGAACCTGGGTCTGCTGCTTGCAAGGAAAGCATTATACCTGCTGTGCTATTGCTCTGGCCCCAGGATCAAATTATTGGATATTGTGCTTAGCACATAAAGTTTTCAATTCACATTAAGTTTTCACTAATTCTATTGTTGTTGCCACCTCCAGCAGGTTCTCTGAAATGATTATATTTACCTAGCTGTCAGGTCTTGCTGACAATGTTAGGCTCATGCCTACAAAGGTTGTAGCCAATATCATATTGAGGTTAAGAATATAGACTTTATTTTTTATTTACTAGTCTTTGATCCCAGATCAGTCATAATGCAATGGTATGACCTTGAACAGATCACTCAATCTATTTGTGTATCTATTTCCCCATCTTAAAAACAGGATAACAATAGTACCTATCTCATAGTATTGTTATGAGAATTAAATGAGCTAATATACTTAACATACTTCCCATATTACCTTGAATATCGAAAGTGTGCTTCAGAATTTGATCTATTATTACTCCTGCCCATACAACCTTGGACAACAGGCCTGAGATTTTTTAGTATACTCCTTTCCAGTAAGTTATTTAGAGATGTCCAGGTAACCAAAACCCAGATAGCCTTCTCTGGGTCCAGGGACTATTGCATTTTTCTGAACTGATCTTGTCTGAAGTTTAAGAAATTGACATTTAGAGACAATTCCAAAACCTATTGGGAATTAGAAATCAGTGATAAGAACAAAACAGTATAGTTAGATGTCAGGAGGTTCTCAGATATATCCCTACTTGCTGCTTTTCCAAAGAAGACATAATTCCAGGGACATAGTATGGCCAGATTTTGAATGATTAAATTGGTATACATGTTGCCAAAGTGAGTATTCAAATGACGAAACTGGAAAATCACCTACTGACCCTAGCTAGGTCTTAGGCATTATAGCTCAGAAAGGATGAATACGGAGAGAGTCATTTGTTTTGTGACACTTGGGTTTTGCAACCTAAACATCACTCATGGAAAAATGTTGTACATTGCTTCTTAAACTTTTCCCACTCACAACTCCTTCTCAACTTAGAAATGCAACATGGGCAAGTGCTGTCAGAAATACCTCAGATTCATTACACAACTAATTAAAATAATTTTTTATTCATTGAACATTCAAAAACCTTTTTCCTGCTGCCAGTTTTTTGCAACCTCCACATTTAGTTATACTACCCACAGTTTAAGATGCTAGGGTGTAGTGTGGAGAGCTGTGGATAGTATAGTAGTAGTGTACTATGTATGTAGTCAACTATGACTGAGTTGCTTTCCTGGAAAGATGCAAATCACTGTCCTTCAACATGTTTCTTTTTTTATTTCTTTCAGTTTTGCTTTTTGGGTCACACCTGGCGATGCACAGTGGTTATTCCTGGCTCTGCATTCAGGAATTACTGGTGATACTCAGGGGACCATATGGGATGTTGGGAATTAAACCTGGGTCAGCCGTGTGCACGGCAAACACCCTACCTGCTGTGCTATCGCTCCAGCCTCTTAAACTCATTTCTTTTTTTTTTTTTACCAAAATTTTATTTATTTATTTATTTTTAATTTATTTATTTATTGAATCACCATGGGAAAGGTTACAAAGCTTTCAGGTTTAGGTCTCAGTCATGCAAATATCAAGCACATTTCCCTTTACCAAAACTTATTTTTTAACATGAAGAACCATAATAAAACCCCACCCCCCACCCCTCCCAGTCCCTGTGGGGCAGATGAATTCTAGTTAACACTCTATCTGCTTTGATTAGATTCATTGTTTCAATAAAAGATTCACCACTATTATTTAGTTTACCCCCCCACCCCCAAATCAGACATACTGACAAAGTATTGTGAAGTGATTTGCTTTCTACAGCTGGGTTCAAGAATTATATGTCGGTTTTGGATTTCTGCTATTTTACTTATTGACCCTGGAAGTATTTCTACTGAAAGTCAGATAGTTAAGAAATTGGTTTCTGTGCTCTGGAGTCGTGGCCGTGCTGGAGAGCCGCTCGTGGGGGGCAACTGGTGGCCTCGGTAGGGCGTGAAGGGCGGGCCGAAACGCCCCCCTTCCCATGATGTTTTAGTCGCCCCCAGTCCCCCGGCTCATACCTGCTGTCCACAAGGCTCCCATGCAGCTGCCATCTTTCTTTCCAGAGAGGAGAAGGCGACTGGGGCAACACCCTTTCGCCTCCGGACAGACCTGATGGCCTGGATTAACGCATAGTCCGTTCACTTTTCTGCTCCAAGCTGCCGGGTTCTGCATTAAGTCCTTGTGCTTCTGGGGCCGTGGCTGTGCTGGAGAGCCACTTGCAGGGGGCAACTGGTGACCTCGGTAGAGCGTGAAGGACGGACCGGAACGCCCCCCTTCCCATGAGGTTTTAGTCGCCCCCACACCCCCGGCTCATACCTGCTGTCCACAAGGCTCCCATGCAGCCACCATCTTTCTTTCCAGAGAGGAGAAGGCGACTGGGGCAACACCCTTTCTCCTCCGGACAGACCTTATGGCCTGGATTAACGCATAGTCCGTTCACTTTTCTGCTCCAAGCTGCCGGGTTCTGCATTAAGTCCTTGTGCTTCTGGGGTCGTGGCCGTGCTGGAGAGCCGCTCGCGGGGGGCAACTGTTGACCTCGGTAGGGCGTGAAGGACGGACCAGAATGCCCCCTTCCCATGAGGTTTTAGTCGCCCCCACACCCCCGGCTCATACCTGCTGTCCACAAGGCTCCCATGTGGCCGCCATCTTTCTTTCCAGAGGGAGGAGGGCGGAAGGGACCAACACCCTTTCCCCTCTGGGCAGACATGATGGCCTGGATTAACGCATAGTCCTTTCACTTTTCTGCTCCAAGCTGCTGGGTTCTGCATTAAGTCCTTGTGCTTCTGGGGCTGTGGCCGTGCTGGAGAGCCGCTCGTGGGGGGCAACTAGTGACCTCGGTAGGGCGTGAAGGACGGACTGGAACGCCCCCCTTCCCATGAGGCTTTAGTTGCCCCCACACCCCCGGCTCATACTTGCTGTCCACAAGGCTCCCATGTGGCCGCCATCTTTCTTTCCAGAGAGGAGAGGGCGAATGGGGCAACACCCTTTCCCCTCCGGACAGTCATGATGGCCTGGATTAACGCATAGCCCGTTCACTTTTCTGCTCCAAGCTGCTGGGTTATGCATTAAGTCCTTGTGTTTCTGGGGCTGTGGGCGTGCTCCAAACTTAACTATGACTTTCAGAGAGAAACGTTGGGTGGTTTACTTCCCATGGATCACTTTGTATATAGAGAGATGTTGCGCGGCCGCGTGAGCGGCCGCACGGTTTTGAGGAAAAGTCCTAGTTCCTGCATACTCGAGCTGTGTTTGTAGAGGCTTCTGGTCACCGGGGTTCCATCTGGGGGAGGCGGGATGTGGTACCTACCCCATCTGGGGCTTCCTGATGATCTCGGCTCTTTTTGGAACCTGTTTTTTTTTTCCTTTGGGATCTGTGGATCCCGCCCTCCATGTTGTCCTTCTCTTCGGCTGATTTCTTTTTGTTGTTGTTGTTGTTGCATTTTTGGGTCACACCCAGCAATGCTCAGGGGTTACTTCTGGCTCATGCACTCAGGAATTACTTCTGGCTGTGCTCAGGGGACCATAAGGGATGCTGGGGATCAAACCCGGGTCGGCTTCATGCAAGGCAAACACCCTACCCACTGTGCTATCACTCCAGCCCCTCAACTCATTTCTTAAGAGAAAAAAAGCTGTCCTAGACACTCATAGTCACATAGTCATTAGGTGCTATTATGTGCTTTGCTATTTCTGATCATTTCTCTACTCTTCTAATAATAATTTTTTTTTAAAAAAATCAGATTTGTTTTTGAATATGCCAGTAAGAGTCCTGCCATGTTTAGAAAAGATAGATGTCAGTCAAATAGGTATCTGGATCAATTAAACTTTGATATCACCATGCTTCCAATTATTTTCTTAGAATTTTGCTTCAATTTGGAAAGTCGTTGTGGTAGGGGTTCTTGAAAATGACCTTGAGCTTTCTTATAGAGGTCAGGCACTGAACAAGAAAGTCACAAGAGCAACTTGCACTGAGTTTAGATGTTCAAAAAGTGGCAAATTGGGTCTTTGAGTTTCCATGGAAACCATATTTATTTATAAAATAAAAATGGTAAGTGCAGTGAGGGAAATATTATCCCAGGAACTTGATTAAAAAACCAGCCTAGTGATAGAGGAGAAAGGAGCAGCTTCAGGAAAACAACATTTCCAATGATCTCTTTTAGTGCTGAAAAAAATATTATTGAAGTCTCACAATGGAGATGTTACTGGTGTCCGCTTGAGCAAATAGATGAACAATGGGAGGACAGTGTTACAGACAGTGCTATGGGTACATAGTGAAGTTGACAATCTTAAAATTTCTCCTCTTTTTATTTATTTTTTAAATTTTTATTAGTAAAACACCATGAGGTACAGTTGTAGACTTACAAATTTTTGTGCTTGGCTTTCAGTTATACAATGATCAAGTACCCATCCCTCCACCAGTGCTTATTTTCCACTACCACGGGTCCCAGTATCCCACCCATCCCTCATTCCCCCATCCCCCCTGCCTCTGTGGCAGGGAATTCCATTTTGTTCTCTCTCTCTTTTTGGGTGTTGTGGTTTGCAAAAGAGGCATTGAGTGGTAATCATGTTTGGTCTATAGTCTACTTTCAGCATGCTTCTCCCATCCTGGGAGGATCCTCACAACACCCTTCTCTTGGTACTCCCTTCTCTATCTGAGCTGCCTTTTCTCCTAGCATGTGTGGCTGGCCTCCAAGCCATAGAGCAAAATTCCTGGTCACTCTTAGGTGTTAGTCTCCTATTTTGTTGGATTATGTTCCCCAGATGAATGCAATCTTTCTATGTCTATCCCTCTCTTTTTGACTCATTTCGCTTAACATGATACTTTCCTTGTAGTACCAATTGTATGTAAATTTCATGACTTCATATTTTCTAACAGCTACATAGTACTCCATTGTGTAAATGTACCAAAGTTTCTTTAACCAATCATCTGTTATCAGGTACTCAGGTTTTTATTTCCAGATTCTGGCTATTGTAAAGAGTGCTGCAATGAACAAACAGGTGCAGATGTCACTACAACTATCATTTTTTGCCTCTCTGCGATATTTTCCAAGGTGTGGTATTGCTGGGTCAAATAAGAGCTTAATTTCTAATTTTTCGAGAATCGTCCATACTGTTTTCCAAAAGGACTGAACCAGTCGCCATTCCCACCAACAGTAAAGAAGAGTCCCTTTCTCACCACATCCGCTCCAGCACTGGTTGCTTTTGTTCTTTTGGATGTGGACCAGTCTCTGTGGTGTGAAATGATATCTTATTGTTGTTTTTATCTGCATCTCCCTGATGATTAATGACATAGAGCATTTTTTCATGTGCCTTTTAGCCATTCGGATTTCTTCTTTGAGAAAGTTTCTGTTAATTTCATCGCCCCATTTTTTATGGGGTTGGATATTTTCTTTCTGTGGAGTTCTACCAGTACCTTGTATATCCTTGGTATCAACCCCTTTCCGGATGAGTATTTGGTGAATATCCTTTCTCTTTCTGTAGACTGTCTTGGTATTTTGGTCACTGTTTCTTTTGAGGTGCAGAAGCTTCTTAATTTGAGATAGTCCCATTTGTCTATCACTGTTTTCACTTGCTTGGCCAGTGGAATGACATCTTTGAAGATATCATTAGCTTCAATATCTTGGAAAGTTTTGCCAACTTTGTCTTCAATGAACCTTATGGATTCTGGTCTGATTTTGAGGTCTTTAATCCATTTTGATCTTACTGTTTTACATGGCATTAGGCAGAGATCTGAGCCGACATTTTTTGCATGTAGCCATCCAGTTTTGCCAGCACAAATATTAAAGAGGCTTTCCTTGCTCCACTTCACTTTTCCTGTACCCTTATCGAATATTAGATGATCATACGCTTGGGGGGAGAGATGTTTTTCTCTGGCTGAAAGTTACGTAGAGAATAAACCAATGGAAATGCCAGTGGTTTGAGCTTACTGGTCAAAACCATGAAACGTCCTTGATGGTGAGTTACTTACAAAGCTGACTTATTTCAGAGCAACAACAAATCAGATGAGAAGCCAGAACACATCTGAGACATTATATCAAGTACTGTAAGCATGGTCAATGTAATTGTCTCAACCAGCTTAAAAAAAGAATAATCCTTAGCTTACAGAGTTAAACAACTCTGTAAGGATAAGAGAGATACTGTGAGGATAATTATGATCACTACTACTATTATTACTATTTTTACTGGTTTGATAAAAGATGATTGCTATTTAAGTGAGAATCCCAGGGAAGCTGTTTGAGTTCTGAAGTGAATATAGGGATACAGAAAGATATTCTGGGGAGTGTAGAGTGCAAGTGAATCTCCAAACTGCTTAACAATGTTACCAAACATTTTTAAGTTACCTTTTTTTGAGCTAGTTCATGGTCAACTTCTTCCTCTTCTGGGCTGATTTCTGCGATTTCAGGTTGGTCCTTTAACTTGTTTAGCAGTTCTGCCTTGGCCACAGAAATATTGTAATATGCTGAGTAAGAGGTAGGGATTCCTGGTGCCCCCTGAGGGGGTAAGAAATGCTGAAATTCTTGTCTGTGTAAAGAAAGAATAACCATTTAAGAACCTCCACTGACCTTTTGCTTTTTAATTTCATTTATAAAATGTGAACATGTTTTATCAAGGAGTTAAGAAAGAAGTAATGGATATAGGAGGGACTGGAAGATAGTGCAGTGAACAAGGTGCTTGCCTTGAGTACAGCCAACCCAGGTTCTATCTCCAGCATCCCATACGGTTCCCTGAGCACCATCAGGAGTAACTCCTAACTTCAGAGCCAGGAGTAACCCCTGAGCATTGCTTGGTGTGGCCCCCAAACCCCAAAAATAATAATGGACTGTTAAAATAAATAGGCCACTTGAAGGCTACTTAGAAGAAACACCAGACCAACTTTCAGCTCTCTTCTAAGGGCAGTTTCTAAGTCCTTGATGTTCATAGCCAGGTAAACTTATTTAGGGATAATTTGGCTTGATATTAATACTCCACTAATGTTCACAAATACTCACAGACCCTAAAGTATTCTTAGTATCTGTTATCAATGATTTCTACTAGTTCTTAGTTATGGTATATAAATTCCAAGGGAAGGGTTAGATGTTAGTCATGTATCCGAAACTTTAATTATTTATCCTCCATGCCTGTAGGCCTCATTTCTGCCCATATTGGACATCAACCCCTGGTGTATCTAGCCTGATTGTGTCCACAGTACTCTGCAAGTTGGATGAGCACTCTCTGGATCTATCTTTTCCTGCTTGAAATAGTCCCTCCACATCAGGTTTCTCAGAGCAGAGATCACCCATCAATTCAGTAGTGGCCACTACCGTGAAGGCTAATTTTAGCACCCCTGTCACATCTCTCCTGAGCTCTTTGAGGGAGTCTGGCCCCCAAAGAGGTAGCATCTTGCTTTTCTGGCCTATCCCTAATGACCCTCACTTCCTCCATGGCTGCAGAACGAATTAGGGGAAAAATAGAACACCCAGGGGTTTGACAATAATAGCAGCAGACCCCATTATCTTGGGTTCACTGAAGTCTGCAGGGCTGGGGTACTGCTTCTTGGAACCCCAGCCCATGAAAAAGAACTGTTCCTCAGGAAGGAAGTAGCTCTGGCTCCGTGTTGACTTTGTTTTGGGCTCTTCTGTCCTCAATGCTTCTGGTCTGATGTGAGGATAGAAACAAAAAGAAATACTTCAGTGTCAGATTTCGGTGAGGGGAAAATCACTTCACAGAGGGTAGGTCAACCCTCAGTATATTCTTGTTGCCTATCAGCCATCCCCACTCTCCACCTGTCTGTGTCACTGACCCTTTGCTAACTTCTAGCAGTTTAAAAGGAAAAACAGTAGAAATCATTAGTCTTTTTTACAACTATCTGAAGCTCTTAGATAAAGGTAAAAAACAATGGTTAAAAAGCCTCCATAGATATTTAATGATTCATGACATACTGTCTTCTAATTCATCACAAAAAAGAAAGTTGGGTGTGTCAGTATTCCTCATTCTCGACATTCATTTCACATGTAGATTTTAAGGTAATATGGGAACTGATGAACACATACTATTAACAAACAGTCACATATTACTTACTATGCCTAAGATGTGATTGAGTGTAGAGATAGATATAAAAGTTAATGCTTATGACAATGGCTCCATAGATTAGAAACACAGAACACTAAAATATAAAGTGCCTTTCTGAAAGTCACCCAACAATAAACTGCAGAACTGTGGTGACCTAATTCTGCAATCTATACTTTTAGCCATTATGCTATGCAGTTTCAGGGAAGACAACTTGACATCATGTAAAGAACTTCCTGTCTGGAGTACAGCTACATAATAGAAAAGAAAGAACATCCTGAAGGAAATATGAGTATATCAAACAGGAAAGTCCTATAAGAAAAAATGTTTTGGGCATGAATGAGAATTCTGAGTCAAAACACGCTGGCAGAAAGTACAAAAATTTTGAATTCAAAAGAGAAGGATACAGGGAAAGAGAGGTAGTTCAAAGTTCGGATTGCATGCTTTAAATGTGGGAGGCTCAAGTTTAATTTCTGGTACCACATGGCTCTTGAAGCACTGCTAGAAATAATCCTCAAGCACAGAGTTTGGAGTAGCTCCTGAGAACTGCTGATGATGTCACCTCAAAACCAAAAAAGAGGGTATAAGTATCTGACTGTACATTAATGATATCTCAATAAAACTGGAATTTTTTTAAAAAAGAATGGACTAATTCAGTTTTCCACCAGACACAGGCATGTATCATATTAGTCTCTTATGTTCTAGGATGTCCTTCCTCATCTTATCTTCACAAACAGGGTAGGTATTATAGGAGATCTATGAGAACATAACCTGAAATTAATGTTGAATATGAAAATAAAAATCATGGCATTGAGAAAAAAATGCCTGGAGATCATAAATCAATCCAATTAAACTTGTACTTGAAGCAGAGTTCTTGGACATCGCAAACATGCAATAATTCCAATATCTTGCTTCTATAAGCATTAGAGAATTTTGTAATTGAAAAGTTTGTGGGAAACTTTTATAGAAAAACTCTGATTAAACTTGTCTGTGATAGGGGAGTATTTTTTTTTGCTATTTTTTTGTTTGGGGCCATATATGGAGATGCTCAGTAGTTACTCCTGGTTTATCATTGAGGAATTATACCTAGTGGTGCTCAGGGAACCCTATGGAATGCCAGGAATTGTACTCAGGTCAGCTGTGTGCAAGGCAAGTACACTACACACTGTACTATCTCTCTGGCCCCATGCATTTTAGATATAAAATATCACATATATATTTGCCCCTGACATTAATCTTGCTTACAAATTCTTAAAACTAATTTCTGCTGTATACAACCTGGTACTCTTCAAGGGTCTGAAAAAGAATCTTCATGACATCCCTGATGTTCTGAAATGATGTAATAGGCACATAGCCAAACAACTTGGGTCTGGCTATCTGTGATCTTTGCAAGTGATTATGTCCTTATATCTCATTTTTCTCATCTGGAATAAATGGAGGAGACTTGGTAATAAGTAAATTTGTAAGCCACCATGCACAAATAAAAAATTTTTAAAACATATGAGAGGAATAAAAAGAGTTGAGAGGACTAATAATAACAACAAAATAATTGGGCATGTAGTACAGTGGGTAAGCTACTTGCCTTGTATTTGGCTAGGGTTCAATTTCTAGCACCCCATATGGTCCCCTGATCCCTGCTAGGAATTATCCCTGAGCATTCACCCAGGAGTAAGTCCTGATCACAGTTAGGCATGCCCCCAAACAAAAAATGGAGGGGACTAATAATACCAGTTTCCTAGGTCTGCTGTGAAGATTAAGTCAATTAGTACTCCAAAATGTTTAGAACAATGTTTGTCAATAGTTAACAAGCAAAAATGTTAACTATGTTGGGAATATTGATCTTCAAATCTCCATCACTCAAAGAAGCATCTGTAACTGATTTTGCAGCCACAAGCCAGAGCTATTCATAAACCAACATTTCCCCTCACATTTTATAATAATGAAAAACAATCCCAGGACTAATGAGAGAGCACAGTGGCTGAAGTAGAGGCCTGACATGGCTTATAGGCTCAATACCAGCACCATGTGATTTCCTGAGGACTGCAGATACAGCAGCCTTGACACTGCTGGGAAGCCCCCAAATTAAAAAAAAAAGTTCTCAGCATAAGTTCTAAGATCTCTAGTGATAGTCTCCTTTTCTGTGACTATAGTGCCAAGGTGAATGAAGGTACATTTAAAAAGCATCTCATCAGAAATGGGGCAATGAAATGAACAAAACTTTCTCAAAGAAGAAATCCAAATGGCTAAAAGGCACACGAAAAATGCTCTTCATCAGTAATCATCAGGAAGATGCAGATCAAAACAATGAGACATCATCTCACACCACAGAGACTGAAACACATATGAAAAAACAAGAGCAACCTGTGTTGGCATGGATGTGGGGAGAAAGGGACTCTCCTTCACTTCTGGTGGGAATGCTGACTGGTCCAGCCTTTTTGGAAAACAATATGGACGTTTCTCAAAAAACTAGAAATTTAGCTCCCATTTGATCCAGCAATACCACTTATGGGAATATATCCTGGATATTCAAAAAATACAGTAGAAATGACACCTGAACCTGTGTGTTCATTGCAGCACTGTTAGTCAGAATCTGGAAAAAAACCAAGTTCCTGAGAACAGATGATTGGTTAGGGAAACTTTGGTACATCTACTGTAACATTGTAGCACTGCCCTCCTGTTGTTCATTGATTTGCTTGAGTGGGCACCAGTAACATCTCCACTGTGAGACTTGTTGTTACTGTTTTTGGCATATCAACTATGCCACAGGGAGCTTGACAGGCTTTGTTGGGTACATCTACACAAATGGAATACTATGCAGCTGTTAGAAAAAGATGAAATCATAAAATTTGCATGTAAGTGGATGGTCATGGAGAGTATCATGCTAAATGAAATGAGTCGGGGGGAGGGGGACAGACATAGAATGACTGCACTAATTTGTGTAATATAAAATAACATAATAGGAGACTAAAACCTAAGGATAGTAGAGATAAGGGCCAGAAGGATTGTTCCATGACTTGGAAGCTGATCTCATGTGCTGGGGAAAAGGCAACTTGGATAGAGAAGGGCCACTAAGTAAATGATGGTTGGAGTGCTCATTTGCAATGGGTGATGTGTGCTGAAAGTAGGCTATGGACCAAACATGATGGTGGCTTAGTGTTTGTATTGCAAACCATAATACCCAAAAGGAGAGAGACAGCATAAGAGGCAATGTGCCTTCACAGAGGCGAAAGGTGATGAGGGGTGTCGGGAGGGATACTGGGAACATTGATGGAGGAGAATGAGCACTAGTGGAGGAATGAGTACTTGATCATTGTATAACTGAAACGTTATCTTGAAAGTTTGTAAGTCTGTAACAGTATCTCATGGTGATTCATTAAAATTATATGTTCGTAATTAAGTGGTTAGCTTTAGGATAGGTGACAGAGAAACTTCCTTGGGCAGAAATTGGCACTTTCAACATACTATACAGAAAGGCATTTTCTCTTATTTGGTTGTGTAGCTTCCATAGTACTGATCTGACATAGTTTAAGAAGGAGCATTTTGCCCATCCTACATTACAAACACTTTGTTGTCGCACACATTGATTGTTACTGAATTACTTTACTTGGAACTATTGTTCTTACCCATAATAAAGAGATAGTTCCTGGTTGGAGGCTTTTAAAAGCATCAGGAAGTACAAAGTGGTAAAGCTGGGCTTTTAGTAGTTATTTCTGGTTCACACTGCTGTCAGGAAAAATGAGGGCCTTAGAAAGACCAGGTCTATGTAAAAACAAGGTATCTATAAGAAAGGTTGCCTAGGAGGGATCTTTTGTTAGACATACTGTATTTGAACATTTGCTTTGCAATTCAGAGTGAGTTAGTATTTTGTTTTGCTCAGCTTTCATTTCCTATCTGTCAAATAATGAGAATAATAACCTGTTAATTATAGACTTTTAGAAGGATGAAATAAATTAACAGTTAAGAATGACTATATCTGACACACTCAAAAACTTAATATATGTACATTTGTTGATGTATTATTTCTTCTGAACTATTAATTACCTACTATGTGCTGGGTTGTTTTCATTTTTCTTTGCTGTGGTCGATAATTATAGTAACTCTTTACAAAATATTTTCTAATTACAAAATCAATGCTCCTCAGCTGAATGGGTAGTTTGAGATGCAGCCACTAGAGATCTGAAAAAGATTCTCACACATTCTGGAAGCCAGTCCATCTAAATGCTATGCTTGTGACATCTCTGGCTAAAAAAATTCTCAACTAACTACAGATAGCCATGGAATAGATTTGCTTGTCAGCAAAAGACATAACAAGGCACTCCTAATAACAACAAGTTTTAGACAAGTTTATTCTTAGGAAGAGATTCAAAGAAAACACTTTAAATATAGTATAGTTTATAGATATATGTCCCCACTTTTCCAACATCCCTGCCTCCCACACAGCTAGCAGTGAGTGGGATCAGTTTCAAAGGAAGATTGGCAATGCTGAAAGTCAAAGCTCATATGATTTTGTATCAAAGACAATACCATCTCTGGGGCATGCAGATGAGCACTGGCATGGTGAAGGGACAGATAATAGTAGGCCTGACTGCCTAAGAGGAAGAGGAAATTTTTTCTTTAGCAGCTGAAAGGAATATATCAGGGAACAATGTACTCAACTCAAGGAGAGCATTTGATATTTGGATGGGAAAAGAGTTTATAAAATTCAGGTAGGTTCTGGAACAGAGTCAGGTAAGGTCATGATCTTATTTCTTATTCTGGAAATCTAACATATACAAGGAAGAACTTGGGCCAGTCTTCAAGCAAAGGCTTATTTTTGGCAAAAAAGATCAAATGCCTCCTGATATTAGAAACCGATGCATGACTTATAGAGACGCTTAGTAATAGCATTGCATTTTTATAGTGATACATAGAGATAAAATCATCACCTATCACTTACTTAAGGCAATTAAGACACGGGTGGTTAAGACATGGGATTATTTCATTCCCATAGATTATCATCATATACACAACAGCCATGTGGAATGAATATCATCATGCCCCATTTTATAGGTCAGAAAACTGAGTCTGGGAAGTTTTAATGAGCAACTTAAAAACACACGGCTGGTAAATGGTGGAATGCACACTAAAGCTCCTTGCTACTTCAGGGATATATTGTCTTTCATAAATACTTACGTGGGAGACTTATTAGCTTCCTGCTCTGATGTTCTCCAATGTCCACTGATGCCATAATAGTGAGGGGGGTGAGCCTTCTCACTTTGAGGTTCCAACTGGCCCCTTATTGGAGGTAATGAATTGCTGCAACGGAGAGCAAAGGATCCTTGTTCTACTGTGAGGCCTTGTGAAGCATGTCTTGAGACTTCCAGGTGTCCAAAGCGGAGGGGTGATGGCTCTTCCTGAACTTCTTCAGGATTAAGGGCACAGGAACCTGCAGTTTCAGAACTGAAATACTGGGGTGGCAGCTCTTCTCCCTCCTCCTCTTCTTCTGCCACTTCTTCCTCTTGCTCTTCTTCCTGATCACCCTCTACCATTTCTTCCTCCTCCTCCACTTCTATCTTCTCTTGTGAGTGTTGTTGTTGTTGTTGTTGCTGCTGCTGCTGCTGCTGCTGCTGCTGCTTTTGTTGCTGCTGCTGTTGGGATGCACGGAAGAGCCTGTACTTCTCCCAATTTGGAGGAGGAGGGCGAGGGGGAGGAAAGGCCTTCTTCTTGGTTCCCTGAGGCCCTGGTTGGTTTTCATCAACTTTGGTAAAAAGTTCTCTCTGGTGCTGACCCCAGACCTGGGAACTCAGGGAATCCAAGCTGATTTGGCTCTCAGAGAAGGCACGGCTGCGCAATGGTCGAGGAATGGGGGCCACTGAACTCCCTTCCTCATAAACTGAAGTTCCTTCAGTTCTTGTTGAGGAGTGCTTGAAGTCTTCAAGAAGGTCAAGAGAAGAAACTGCTCTGCAACCTGACAAGTCTAGTGCAAGGCAAGGATGGAAGGGGGTTGCCCATATAAAGTTAGTGTTGGAATGAGCCATTTCCCTGCAAAACAATGAATAAGTGTTTTATAAAACAAGGAAGAACTGCAGATTATTTCATATTTTGAATCACATCATACATGGAAAATTTAAAATGTCCACAAAACAGCATATGCAGTAAAAGTAATAATAGTGATAATAATATGAAGTAGTGATAGTTCATCCTTACTGTGTACATGCTAAAGGTCAAGCACCATTTTAAATATTGTCATATTTTAATAATTTAATCCTTACAATTGTTCAAGGATTTATTATTGTCCTGATTTACAGTATGGAAATTGAGGGATGTGCCAGTTTCTGAAGAAAGGGTTATGAAGAAAGTTAGCTATAATATTTGAATTTAAGCATAAGCAGCTTAACTCTAAAGCCCATCTGTAGTGGTCAGAATTAATGTACTATATACTAGAGTACAACTCTGGTTGTCTAGTTTCAACTGTTGTTTTTGGTTATTTTAAATTATGAAATAACTTCAAAGAGTTAGACTCAGATAATTTTATAATTCATATCATGTCCCCACCTACTTTCCAGAATTAGGATAAATTATTTCTGGGTGATCTGTGCTTCATGAACTTTACAAATAAATAAATTATACCCTTCTCATTTGTATGCCCCTTCTGCCTCCCTCCATGCAACAGTTATTACAAATTTTACATGTATACTTTCTGTCCATTATCTTTTAACGGTAGAGAAAAATATCAGGCAGGATAGTTACAAATAGCTGCTGGTTTGTATTTAAATGTCTCCTTATGAGAAAAATAAAAGGGTAAAATATTTTTCCTGATCATTAAAACTTCAAAAAATTAATTGGGATTTTGTGGTTTACAATGCTATTAAATTGTTTCTCATACACATAATTACAACACCACACCCATCATCAGTGTATCCCCTACCTCTTCCAAGCACCCCAAATACACTCCTTCTCACTCCTGGCATCCTATTTCAGTTGTGTGGATCAGTTCTCCCAATATGTTGCCTTTGTATCTTTGTTGGCACTTTACAACGTATCTTTAAGTCTAAAGGGAAAGATTTCTTATTTGACAAAATAATAACTCAAAATTCCCCAAAGTGAGATGGCTACAGATACCCAGCAATAGGAAGCTGAAAGACCCCCAAACAGAATAAAAATGGGCAGATGCACATCAAGGCACACTATAATTTAAATATCAATAGACAAAGAGAGGATGTAATCAAAATCCTAAAAGGAGCAGAAGTGAAGAGTCACATAAAAGTGAAACTCCATAGCAATCACAACAGAGATATCAATTGAAACTCTATAGGCCCGAGGAGAATAATATGACATATTCAAAGTCTTTAATGGAAAGTCTTATAACCAAGAATATTCTACTCAACTAGATTAGCACTCAGATGTCTCAGGAGTGATAAAAAGAAAAAAAGCTTTTTCGACAAGAAAACATTAAGTAAATTCATGATCTTTAAACCAGCCCTGGAAAATTTAATAAATGATCTTCTACGAAAGAAAAAAACCCTCTGAGAAAAGTAAGACACCTTTAAAAACTGTGTGCAAGGAGAAGACTGATATTGGAGTCTCTGAGAATTAACTGGAGATTTACTTGTTTTAAAGTTAAAATGTAATATTAGAACTCTAGACATAAAATTGTGGTAAAATCAATAAAAATAGACTTAAAAAAACAAACATGCAGAGATAAATGACCATAGTACAAAAGGCACTTATCAAATAAAATGTGAGAAAAAAAAAGAGAAACAAAGAGAGACAAAATGAAAAAAAGCCTAATATACTTATAGGGAAATGGAAATACTTTCTAAAAATTTTTATTAGTGAAACACCATGAGGTACAGTTGTAGACTTACAAATTTTTGTGCTTGGGTTTCAATTATACAATGATCAAGTACCCATCCCTCCACCTCTGCCAATTTTCCACCACCAAGGATCCCAGTATCCCTCTCACTCCCATCCCCCCGTCCCACCCTGTCTCTGTGGCAGGGCATTCCCATTTGTTCTCTCTCTCACTTTGGGTGATTTGGTTTGCAAAAGAGGCATTGAGTGGCAATCATGTTCAGTCTATAGTCTACTTTCAGCATCCTTCTCCCATCCTGGGAGGATCCACCTAACACCATTTATTTGGTACACCCTTCTGTATCTGAGCTGTATTTTCCCCTAGCATGTGTGGCTGGCCTCCGAGCCATGGAGTAAACCTCCTGGTACTTATCTAGGCTAACCATAGGTGTTAGTCTCCGATTTTGTTACTTTATATTCCCCAGATGAATGCTATCTTTCTATGACTGTCCCTCTCTTTCTGACTCATTTCACTTAGAATGATACATTCCATGTAGTACCACTTTTATGTAAATTTCATGACTTCATCTTTTCTAGCTGCTACATAGTACTCCATAGGGTAGAAGTACCAACATTTCTTTAACCAGTCATCTGTTTTAGGGCATTCAGGTTTTTACCAGACTCTGGCTATTGTAAAGAGTGCTGCAATGAACAAACAAGTGCAGATGTCACTTCAACTATACTTTTTTGCCTCTCTGGGATAATTTCCAAGGAGTGGTATTGCTGGGTCAAATAGGAGCTCAATTTCTAAATTTTTGAGAATCGTCCATACTGTTTTCCAAAATGACGGAACCAGTCGGCATTCCCAACAGCAGTGAAGGAGGGTCTCTTTCTCACCACATCTGTTCCAGCATCGGTTGCTTTTGTTCTTTTGGATGTGGGCCAGTCTATGTGGTCTGAGATGGTATCTCATTGTTGCTTTGATATGCATCTCCCTGGTGATTAATGATGTACAACATTTTCTCATGTGCCTTTTAGCCATTCAGATTTCTTCTTTGATAAAGTTTCTGTTCATAAAGTCTCCCCATTTTTTATGGGGTTGGATGTTTTCTTATTGTGGAGTTCAACCAGTACTTTATGAATCCTTGATATCAACCCCTTGTCAGATGTGTATTTGGCGAATATCCTTTCCCATTATGTAAACTGTCTTTGTACTTTGGTCACTGTTTCTCTTGAGGTACAGAAGCTTCTTATTTTAAAGAAAGTCACATTTGTCTATCTTTGTTTTCACTTTCTTGGCCAGTGGTGTGACATCTTCGAAGATACAATGTCATGGAGGGTTTTGACAACTTTGTCTTCAATGTACCTTATTGATTCCGGTCTGATATTGAGGTCTTTAATCCATTTTGATCTTACTTTTGTACATGGTGTTAGGCAGAGATCTTAGCCCATTTTTTGCATGTAGCCATACAGTTATTGCAGCACAATTTGTTAAAGAGGCTTTCCTTGCTCCACTTCACATTTCTTGCTCCTTTATCTTAGATTAGATGATCGTATGTTTGAGGGGAGATGTCAGTATATTCAACCCTATTCTGTTGGTCTACATCAATGCCTTTGTTCTATTAGCATGCTGTTTTAATTATTACTGCTTTTTGGTAGAGATTGAAGTTAGGGAGGTTGATTCCTACCATTTTCCTTTTCCCAAGAATTGCTTTAGCTATTTGTGGGCGCTTATTGTTTCATATGAATTTCAGGAATGTTTGCTCCATTTCTTTGAGAGTGTCATGGGTATCATTATAGGGATCACAATGAATTTGTACAATTCTTTGGGAATTATTGCCATTTTGACAATGTTAATTCTCCTGATCCATGAGCAGGGGATATCTTTCCATTTTCTCCAGTCCTCTTTTTATTTCCTGAAATAGTGTTTTGTAGTTTTCTTTGTACAGGTCCTTTACTTCCTTAGTTAAACTGATTCCTAGATACTTGATTTCCTGGAGCACAATTGTGAACGGGATTGTTTTTTTCATGTCACTTTCTTCTCTCTCACTGTTTTCGTATAGGAAAGCCATGGAATTTTGAGTACTGATTTTATAGCCTGCAACTTTACTATACAAGGCCATTCTTTCTAGGAGTTTCTTGGTAGAGATCTTAGGGTTCTCTAGTACAGTATCATATCATCTGCCAATATTGAGAGCATTATTTCTTCCTTTCCTACCTGAATGCTGTTAATAACTTTTTCTTGCCTAACCACCATTGAAATAACGATAGTACAATATTGAACAGCAGTGGAGAGAATGGGCATCCTTCTCTCACCCCTAATATTAGAGGGAAGGCTCTTAGTTTTTTCCCATTAAGGATGATGCTTGCTGTAGGATTGTGGTAGATGGTTTTAACTATATTGAGGGAAGTCCCCTCTACCCCCATTTTGGCAAGGGTTTTCATCATAAATGGGTGATGGATCTTGTCAAATGCTTTCTTTGCATCTATTTATATGATCACGTGCTTTTTTATCTTTTCTTTTGATGATATGATGGATTATGTTGATCTATTTCCGAATGTTAAATCATCCTTGCATCCCTGGGATGAATCTTAATTGGGCATCGTGTATGATATTTTTGATGAGTCATTGGATTCTATTTGCTAATAGTTTGGTGAGGATCTTTGCCTCTGTGTTTATCAGGGATATCGGCCTGTAATTCTCTTTATTCGTGGTTTATCTGTCTGATTTTGTTATCAGGGTGATATTTGCTTCGTAGAAATTGTTCGGAAGTGTTTTTAATATTTCAATTTCATCAAAAAGCTTAAAGAGGATTGGGAGTAAGTCCTCTTTAAAGATTTGGAAGAATTCACTAGTGAATCCATCTGGGCCATGACTTTTGTGCTTGGGGAGACTTTTTATTACCATTTCAATTTCCTTGATGGTGATAGGTCTGTTCAGGTATTCCAGGTCTTCTTGGTTCAGCCTTGGGGGTCTATAGGAATCTAGAAATTTATCCATTTCCACTAGGTTTTCATGTTCCGTGGCATAAAGATTCTCAAAGTACTCCCTGGGGATCTTTTGAATTTCTGAAGTTTCTGTTGTAATGACCCCCTTTTTATTTCTGATTCGGTTTATTAGTGTTTTCTCTCTTTCTTTCTTTTTGAGTTTTTCTAGATGCTTATAGATCTTGTTTATTTTCTCGAAGAACCAGCTCTTGGTTTCATTGATCTTTCAGATTGTTTTTTGGGTTTCTATCTCATTAATA